CTCTCAGTGTACATAAAAGAAAAGATACATTCGTCAAGAGTCAAGAATCATAAGGTACAACACTTAATAATAGTCATAGGGTACAATAAGCAATCAAATCATACTAGGAAACAGTCAATATAAATTATAAGGATACAAGCAACAAAGTTACAGTCATACAGTCAACAAGTGGGAGGGGATGGGCGATAAGGAGTGATGAGAAGGTTAATAGCAATAGTAGTGCAGACTTTGTAAATAGTTGGACAGTATTGAGGGAATTATTTGTTTAGCAGAGGGATGGCGTTCGGGAAGAAACTGTCCTTGTGTCTAGTAGTTCTGGTGTGCAGGGCTCTATAGCCTCTTTTTGAGGGATTGCAAATCTTGATAGCAAATCTTTCACTTATACACGAGTTGAATTTCCAAGCGTGGACTGTAATCCAATGGACTCGAACAGATACTGTTGAGAAAAGCTCATCTGAACTTATCAATCTGCCTAACGTTTTCAGCTGGGGCACCGACCCCCTTGAGAACTGACCATTTCAGCCTAATTACCTTTCTTTTCTTGATGGGCCCAGAATTCTCGGACACGTCGGTGAATGTTTTTTGTCTCCCGCAAATGTTTTTGCCACTGGCGTAATTCCTGAACTTCAGGATGACAACGGACCTAGAAATGGGAAATGTACGTGCCTGGGTAAGAAACTCTGGAGGTATCCGTGGCGTCAATCTCAAAGGTGCTTTTTCAAAAGGCGACTGGACTTCGGCTTCTCTTCCAAGAAGCTTCTTCGGTTCTCTGAAGAACTGAACAAAACTGAATAAGCTTCTCAGGTGAGAAGTGAAACATCTACAAGGAAAAAAAAATGAAGTCCAGATGCCTTTTAAAATAAGCACTTTTGGGACAACCGTGGCCTGGATGACTGAGGATCTCCACAGATATTTAGGAGTGATATTTTCTAACTGATTGGTACAAAGAAACCCGAGTAGACAACAGTGCGTCCATTTAACTACTGGCTGCGGTGTGATCTTTTGGGATCTTCCTTTATCCACCCGCCCACCCATCCATCCACCTCCCACTCTCCCTCTAACTGAACAGAGACTCATCAGGACAGAATAAGCTACCAATAGGATTACTTCTTATAATGGAAACTATCGGATGTCTGCTATGTCTGGCTTAAAATAGCAAGAGGAGTATAAGTAGCAAATCCCCAGCCGTATCCTTTTGGTTGACCTTCAAATCCAGATTGGGAGGATGTGTCTCAGGCAACCCACTCTTTCTGCTCTCCAACCCCATGGAGAGCTTTCCTGTGCCGAATAAAAGCAGGACAAGAAAGAGCACGCTGGGTCACAGCAATCAATCCCCCCACCCACCCACCAATCAATCAATCAACCAACCAAACATACAACTTCTCTAGTAGAGGATTAGAGCAAAGGCGCTTTAATCCACGCTATCATGTTTCCGGGAGAAGCTGGACAGAAAATCCACAAATGGGACATGCCAGCCAGAGGTCCTCCTCTTATAGTCCTCCACTGGGCTAGTTTTATCTCACGTGTTCTACGGGCTTACTCTGGAGCTGCTGTTCTCAGGTGAGCCTATTTCCTTTCCCAATGTCCCAAGCTGTTTTTGAGCCTCCAAACTGGAGGTCAACCAGAAGGAAACAAGTTATGGCCACCATGTTGCTACAGTGGCCATTTTGCTGAGGCTGCCTTCAACGTGCTTTTGAGTCTCCCGATTTTTTCCGGCACATCTGACTGATTTAGAGCCTCATTAGGTATGCCAGGACACAGATTCGTGGGTAAAACAACTAAAATCTTGCAACGTTTAGCTGGCAAAAGTCAAGGGATTGGGCATGGGCGTGTGTTTAAAGATTATTTATTTTTAAAGGACTTTGGGGAGGACTTCAGGAGGAGAAGTTGGGATAGACAATTGCCATCTCAAGGACAAGAGTTAGAAATATAAGAAGGCTGTCCTCTCATAAAGCATCTTTGTGTTTTCTTAGCTCTTCACTGCCTCTCGTTATGACTCATTACCCTTCATTTTTCTCTCCTACACTCTCTTTTTCTCCTTCCTTTTCAAATACCAAGTATCCTGTTCCTTGCTTATTCTTCTCCCCCAAGTTTGCTGAGTCCTTCGACCTTGTGACGTGTGTGGTTTTAATTAAATTATCATCTGGACCAATGTTTCTCAATCCTGGTAACTTTAAGATATGTAGACTTCAATTCCCAGAAGTCCACAAGTCTTAAAGTTGGCCAAGGTTGAAAAACACTGCCATGAACTAAACAAGACAAGGGACAACAGGACTTGAAGGTGTTCTTGGCCCCTGATCATATCTGCTTTTGAACATCTGGCATTGTGGGAAAGCAAAACTGAGTTTTGCACTATCGGCAACTTTCCTCTCACAACCATATCGCAACTGACCAATGGCTGCTATGCAAATCCGTAGTCCACCTGCACCTTTGTAGACATTTATAGCACTTGGGGTTGAAACCCTAAACAGGGGTTCCTCTTGAGTCTGCTGCCTGGAGGAAACATCCGGCAAATTATAGAGGGGTCTTACCCGATAACCTTTCCAGAAGGTTTGGATGATGTGGCTGGCATCTTTCTCAGTGAGCAGGAGAGACAGAGGAATGGGAGGCCTAGGACTAGAGAAAATATTTCCATTTCAAAATCATACATCTTTTCTTTATTAATTATTAATTATATCCCGCCCGTATTATTTTTACAAATAACTCACGTCGTCCTCCTCCTGTTTCCCACACAACAACAATCCTGTGAGGTGGGTTGAGCTGAAAGAGAGGGATTGGCCCAAAGCGATCCAGCTGGTTTTCATGGCTAAGGCGGGACTAGAACTCACCGTCTCCTGGTGATTGGCCCAGGATCACCCGGATGGCTTTCACATCAGAGGTGAGACTAGAACTCCAGTCTCCTGGTGATGGGACCAAAGTCACCCAGCTGGCTTTCATGCCTAAGGCAGGACTAGAACTCACCATTTCCTAGTGACTGGCCTAAAGTCACCCAGCTGACTTTTATGTCTAAGGTGGAACTAGAACTCACAGTCTCCTGATAAATGGCATAAAGTCACCCAGCCGGTTTTACATGCCTAAGACAGGACTAGAACTCAAAGTCTCCTGGTGATTGACCTAAAGTCAATTCTCCATGATGTTTACATCCCATCATTTTCCCGGGAGAAATACAAGCTTGTCCTTCCTAACATTGCAGTACGAATTCCTTCCATGCCGGCACTGGGCTTCGTTTTTCAAATCACAAGGCTCTTTCAGGGGAACCGATCCAAGACTAAAGTAGGAATGGGATGTAGATCACTCACGTCTGACAGGGAAGGGCTTCGTGTCCAGAAATCCAGTCGGCGGAGACCTCACCCATTTCCAGTCCAAAGGAGCCGAAGTCACCCCAAATCCATTTTATCCACTGGAACAGGGGGCCCCTACCTCAGCAACTTTAAGACTTGTGGACGTCAACTCCCAGAATTCCTCGGGCCAGCTATGGGAGTTGAAGTCGACAAGGCTTAAAATTGCCAAGTTTGGAGACCTCTGCACTGGAATATTAGTAACTGACTTTAGGTGGAATGGAAATAGGATATCGGCAGGCACAGGAGTGAACTGGGCAAGAGGGAATAAATTATTTGGGGCAGGAGACAATCCCAAGAGGAATCAGCTGAGAAAGCGGCTGTGCAGGGAATGTGCAAGGTGTGTTGGTTGCAAAAAATAAAAAATAAAAAATTACAAACACTCCCTGTGGAGCACCGGTCAATACAGCAAAAAGGCTCTGTCTCGTGTGCAATTGGATTTCCCAGAATGATCTGGCATCGCTCGGATGCCCTCAAGGGGCCAAGTTTTCAGCCAGAGAAGCAGATAAATCTAACGCTGGGAAGAAAAACGGGACAGCAGCTAGATTAACGATCGACGTCAGTGTGGTGTCTTCTTCTTTATGGCATCCACTGAGGCAACTTGGGCCAAAATAATGCCGGAGCCCGGAGATCTGTTTGGAAAAGGGTTGCCAGAAATATGAAATAAACAAATAAATAAATAAATCGGGCGGTCTGCAAAAGCACTCTTTGGTAAAATGAGCCAACTAGGGATGCTTGTCTCGGGTTTCTTGACCTTGCCTCCCTCCGCGGAGGACGACTCTCTATCGGATGCAACATTTGCCCCGAGATCTCCCCCGTACAGATCCCTTGATCTGCCATCCCGCCCGCCATCCTAGCGTACAGATCCCCTGGTGGATAACTCTTGGCTTGTTGATGCAAATCGAAGATGCCAGGCGCAGCTTGACGTTCATCGGGGTTGACAGGCCGAAAGCTGCAGCCCTGCAGGGTTTCTTGTGCCGATGTTTCGAGGCAGCAGAGCAACCCTCCCTGCACGTTCCCTTCCCTGATTTGGGACAAATGCGGGGCGGGGGGTGGGGAGGGCGGGTTGACGTGGAGACACTGGGACACGGTTGGGATTTGTTCGTTTTTTATTTTATTTTATTTTTTTGCGGGGGTCTGGGATTTCTTTCTCGGCGCTTAACCAAAGAAGAGTCTGCTCGGAATTTAGGGACAAGCTGCTTGACAGCTTTGTTGACGGGTGTCTTGAATTAAAGGAAGGGGAAACCGAGACAAAACAGCACCAGCAGCAGAAGAAGAAGACCTGGAAAATAGCGTGCAAACTTGAGTGGCCCAGATGGGAAGGGAGCTGCTGTGGCTTAAGAAGAAGAAGAAGAAGGAGGAGGAGGAGGAGGAGGAGGAGGAGGAGGAGGAGGAGGAGGAGGAGGAGAAGAAGAAGAAGAAGAAGAAGAAGAAGAAGAGGAGGAGGAGGAGGAGGAGGAGGAGGAAGAAGAAGAAGAAGAAGAAGAAGAAGAAGAAGAAGAAGAAGAAGAAGA